GCCCGGAGCAGGTCAGGCCTGGGCACCTGGCGGGGCGGGGCAGGGCGGGGTGGGGGCGCGCACCTGGGGCGCCCGCGGAGACCGCGAGCAGGGGGCGGGGTCTGAGGATGCTGTGCCGGACCCGGGACCCGGGACCCGGGACCCGGAGAGGGGTTGGTTGGAGTGAGGCTGGACGGCTGGCTAGGGACTCCTGAAACGTGTTAGGGATGCGGGGAGCGCGGGGGGGGGTGGCGTTCAGGGGTTCTCAGGTAAGGGTGGGGCTTTATCCCGGGAAGGCTCTGATTTCCTCTCACCGGCTTTCAGGGACCACAGTTCTCCTACACGCCTCACCCTAGGCAGAGGGGACCTATTCTCTCCGCCTGTTCTCACCGGGAGTGAGGGGCCCACCCATCACGCTACCTCCCGGTGGCTCCCTGGGGGCGGGAGGGAGAGAGGACACTTTTCACTACCCATTCTGCAACTTTCCACTTCATTCCAAAGATCCTTCTTTTGTTAAATTTTATAAGCAAGGATGTCGCGGGATAGTGCCAGATGATATCTCTGTGTAGTGAGAAATGATTCCTTGCTAGAGGGGAACAGCCCCAGTATATCTCTCCTTTAATTTTTTTTTAAACGGAGAACAGCTATCCCAGTCTTCATCAGATCTGTGAAATACTGTACTTTTTGCCATGATGGGATGGATGTAGGAAAGGTATCGTCAGGTGCTCTGACCCTCCTCTCCCTCCAGATCCTAAGAAGAACTCTTCCCTTTGGGAAGTTTGGAGAGGAAGACCACCCTTTCCAAATTCTAGGAGAACAGTCTTTCCAACCTCAGTCTAAGACTTCATCTCTGGAACGGGAAGTTTCCCTTGAACTCTGTCTTCTTTTCTACTGCAACTTAAGTCTTTTGCTTTGTTTTCGGTAAAAGGTCTGAAGGTGGTTTTTGTTAGTTTGTTTTCGTTTCTGTTTTTTAAGTGGGAGTATGACCTGATGCTCCAGCTAGTGTGAGGTCCAGGTGGTGATGGCTAACAGGATCGCTCCCCACTTTTCCTCCAGGGGGAGCTCCTGAGCCCCTGCCGCTGTGATGGCTCAGTGCGATGCACACACCAGCCCTGCCTCATCCGCTGGATCAGTGAGAGGGGTTCCTGGAGCTGTGAACTCTGCTACTTCAAGTACCAAGTCCTGGCGATCAGCACCAAGAACCCCCTGCAGGTAGGATGCAAAGAGAGGACTCAGAGTGGGTGAGGGAGATAATCCTTCAGGGAGCCTACAGTTTTCCCAAAGCCACATCTCCAGCTATTATAGCAATCTCCAGACTATCTCCTTCATTGATTGGGTACCATTAAAATTCTGGGCCCCGTACTGGGCACTGAGATGACACAGATGATAATAATGATAGCTTTCACATAGTATTTTCTGTATGCCAAGGTTTGGTGTAGAGTGGTAGAGCGCTTGCCTTGCATGCATGAGGCCCTGGGTTCAATTCCTCAGCACCACATAAAGCAGAAAAAGCCAGATGTGGCACTGTGGCTTAAGTGGTAGAGTGCTAGCCTTGAACTGAAGAGCTGAGGGACAGTGCCCAGGTTCAGAGTTCAGGCCCCACGACCAGCAAAAAAAAAAAAAAGATTTAATGTATATTAGCTTTTACTTTTTATAACAGTTTTATTAATTGGATACCATTAGTATGCCCATTTTGCACATGAGGACACTAATACATGAAGTGATTTCGAACCTTGCCAAGGTTACTCAGCAAGTGTTAAGAATTAGAGGGGCTGGGAAGGTAGCTCAGTGCTTGCCTTACATGCATGAGGCCTCAGGTTCAATTCTTCAGTACCACGTAAGTAGAAAAAAACCAGAAGTGGTGCTTGGCTCAAGTGGTAGAGCACTGGCCTTGAGCTGAAGAGCTTATGGACAGGGCCTAGGCCCAGAGTTCAGGCCCCATGACCAACAAAAATAAAAATTGGAAGGCAAGCTTGGATTTTTGGCTTCAGAACAGCATCCATCCAATCCTGCCTTTCTCAAATAAGACAGATACGCACCGTGTTTTAGATTAATCGAAGCACAGAGAAGACAGATGTTAATCCTGACTATCTAAAGGGTTTACTGTAACCTAGAGTCTTTTTTTTTTTTTTTTGGTTAGTTGTGGGGCTTGAACTCTGGGCCTGGGCATTGTCCCTGAGCTCTTCAGCTTAAGGCCACAGCTCTACCACTTGAGCCACAGCACTACTTCCAGTTTTCTGGAAGTAAGAGTCTCATGGACTTTCCTGCCCAGGCTGGTTTTGAACCATAATACTCAGATCTCAGCCTCCTGAGTAGCTAGGATTACAGGCGTGAGCCATCGGTGTCCCACTATCTCTAGAGCCTTTTTGTTGTTCATATGCTAGTGCTTGAACTCAGAACCTGGGCACTGTCCCTTAGCTTTTTTGCTCAAGGCTGGTGCTCTACCACATGATTCACAGCTCCACAAGTAGCTTTTTGGTGGTTGGAGATAAAGAATCTCACAAACTTTTCTTGCCTGGACTGGCTTCAAAACCTGATCTTCAGATCTCAGGCTCCTGAGTAACTAGGATTACGGGCATAAGCCACCAGTACCTAAGTTGGAGCCTCCTTTTGTTCAGGGTGCATAGTACCAGTTCTCCATTCCTTTCCATGACTTTTTGGAGCTTTTTCCTCTATACAGTGGCAGGCCATCTCCCTAACTGTCATCGAGAAGGTCCAGATTGCTGCCATAGTTCTGGGTTCGCTCTTCCTTGTCGCCAGCATCTCCTGGCTCATCTGGTCCTCACTCAGCCCTTCAGCCAAGTGGCAACGGCAGGATCTGCTCTTTCAAATCTGCTATGGCATGTATGGCTTCATGGATGTTGTCTGCATAGGTAAAGGCATCTCTCTCCTCCTTATGTCCGTAGCATTTCCCACTTACTAACTTCCCTGCCCATCCTTTCAGTTTTATTGCTAGGTGTTCTGCCACCAGGGGGCCTGTGGGACTATCCTGGTGCATCTCCCTTCCCTGCTTCTCCTGGGTGCTTTGCAGTTGTATCTTCTCACCCTGCAGAAATGCATGCCCTTACACATCTAGCCTGGATTTTAACAGCAGATAACAATGGATATCTTATTCTTCTTCCTCAGGCCTCATCGTCCATGAAGGTTCTTCTGTCTATCGCATCTTCAAGCGCTGGCAGGCAGTAAACCAGCAGTGGAAGGTCTTAAATTATGACAAGACAAAGGACATAGGAGGAGATGCAGGGGGAGGGACGGCAGGAAAGCCAGGCCCCAGGACCTCACGGACGGGCCCCCCTGCTGGGGCTACCAGCCGTCCCCCTGCTGCCCAGCGCATGCGGACGCTCTTGCCTCAGCGCTGTGGTTACACGATCCTGCACCTCCTTGGACAGCTGCGGCCACCAGATGCCCGTTCCAGCTCTCACTCTGGCCGAGAGGTTGTCATGAGGGTCACCACAGTCTGACCTGGACTCCAGGAGCAGGGATCTTAAGTCAATGCATCAGCCAGAGATGAGCTCTCATGGCTGCTGGAGGTATCACCCGGGCAAGGTGTTTGGGGCTTAGTACCCTCACCATTGAGGAGCTCAGTGGGCAGCCTCAAGCTGGAGACATTGTCTGGCCTCTACTGCCTGCTGGGTAGACACCTGGATGACATTCCAGCCCTCATTGACAGCTCCTCACACTCATCCTGAGACAGCCAGTGTGCAAGTGGAGAGAGCATCTTTTCTTCCTGGAGAGAACCGTCTTTACCTCAGCTCCTAGGGCCTCCAGCCCCCTGGCTCTACCACAGTGACTTGGCAAAGGGGGACCAATGCCAGAAGAAAGGGGCTGTAGACCCCCATTCCCCACCCCATGGCCATAGGGCATCTGGCAATAAGACTAGTATACATTGACCTCCCGTTCCCTGCATGAGGGCGGGGGACTTCCCCCTGCTCCATCCCCCATTGCATGGGGGAAGGGCATAAAGAATCATTTATATGCACGTGGAGACTCCTTTCTCATCTGGGGCTTTTCTGAAGTGCTGGGAGGTGTGGGAAGGTTTCTGTGCAGGTTGCAAATCCCAAATGTAGCAGTGGGTTCTGAGTGGAAGGCGTGACTCCCACTTGCTAGTGAATAATTCACATTGGCTGCTAGGTGGCAGTGCTCAGAGGAATCTGGAGGCCTGGGCCTGCCACCTGTAAGCTGTATGATTTAGAAAAATAGAAAAAAAGAATCTCTCAGCCTATGTTTTTCCTGTCTACCTCATAGAGTTGGAGTGAGGATAATGAGGAACAGGTCAGATGCCATTGCAAGGAAAATTGATAATGGCATGAAAAGATTTCTAGACTAGTTGATGGTCCATTTAGTTCAAACACTAGTTGATATAACAAATTCCAAAATGTGTTTTCGTCAGGAGTTGCCTGGAACCTGAGAATCTTGTGTTGAATAGCGTAATAGATACAGAATTATGAGGGGAAATAGACATTGTAAATGTGGAGGATGGTGGTATTTGTTAGGAATGAAAACTCCTCTGACCCTCTAAATATCGAGGTCTTTGGAAAGGCTATTTCTGTTTATTTTGTTTGGAGAGTGTCTGGGTTCTATTTGTCCTCCTACTAGGTACTGTGCTCATCCAGAAAAAATGCTGTGAAAATATGGACTTGTGGAGTGACATGGAGAGGAACTCCCCTCTAAGGTTGTGACTCTGACCCAATTTTTAGCTATTTCTATGGCAGTTCAGGCTCTCAGGTCTGATCCTGGTGTGCTCAGCTAGAGGTTTTAAGTGAAAGGTATTCTACAGGGAAGCAGCTTAAAGGGCTGTTGTTTATTTACAAAAGACGAACTGCTTAAAATGTGTATAAAACTGGTTGAAATGTGGATCCAAGGGGTGGGAGTGTAGATCAGTGTTAAAGCATTTGCTTAGCAAGCATGAATTACTGAGTTTAAACCTCAGCACTGGAGGGGAAAAAAAAGGTAGGGCATCAGCTTGAATCCTAGTCCCTTTCTCTTGAGGCTTGGGGACTGTGAATTATACGGATAATGGTGTGTGTGTGTGTGTGTGTGTGCGTGCACGCGTGTGTACATGCACAGGTGCCAAGGGCTTGAACTTAGAGCCTGGGTGCTGTCCCTGAGCATTTTCACTCAAAACTAGCACTCTATCACTTGAGCCAAAGCTCTACTTCGGACTTTTTGGTGGTTAGTTGGAAATAAGAGTCATAGATTTTCCTGCCTGGGCTGACTTTAAACTGTGATCATGAGATCTCAGCCTCTTGAGTAGCTAGAATTACAGGCCAAGCCACCATTGCCCAGCTTAATGGGTCTTTTTATAAGTGAACAATCAAAATAATTCCTTTGGGGTCAGAGGCCTGGCTCAAGTAGCAGAACACCAGCCTGTGAGTGAAAGCAAGGGACAGATACTAAGTTTGAATCCTGTTCTCAGACAAAAATAATAATTCCTTCATACATTGCTCAAGTTGAAGCCAGATGTCTTTTTTTTTTTAATTACTGGTCCTTCTCTTAGGAAAGGTTCTGCTCCGCCTGCTCCTTTGGAATAATTTGGAGAAGATGCTTGTTTCCTAAAGGCCCCCATATCCTTGCACAGAAACCTTGTTCCTCTTCTTTTCCCCAAGGGTCTTGGCTGCTGTCCATGGTGCTGGCATCCAGTTTTACTTGGGAGTATAGAAACCAAAGCTGACTGAGTTCTGATTTACCTTAAAATGTAGAGGCAGTATCACTTCTGGATCTGAGGGTATGAGTGGAGAAAGGACTGAAGCAGAGCCCTGTATTTTCCTAGTGGAAAACTCCTTCCACAGAGACATAGTCCTCTATATTCCCCACCTGGGAAGACATATGGGAGACAGCAAATCAAAGTGACTATGAATAACCTACACTGGCAGGTAGGAGTCAGATAAAACACACATGGAGTTTCTATACCAAGTCTGGACTGTAACCTATGGTTACTCATGGTAGTTTAGACATATTCAAGAACATAGACATACTTATTCTGAAGCCAAGCCAGTGAGACAGTACTTTACCTTTTCCTTTGGCACTAGAGGAGGGCTTGGGATAGGGAGTTGGGGCTAGCCAACTCCCTTTTTCTGACTTAAAGACATCCTTGTCTGGGAAAGGGACCATGGCACCATTACCCTCCTCATGTGGGCACTTCTGTTTGCCTTTTGGGAAGTGTGGGTACATAGAATCTTATTGATACCAAGGGAATGGGTCTAGCAGAAAACTGAGTTTTATTTTCCCTTAAAGTTCAAATCTGCTAAAAGCCCATGTAGATTCAAGGTGAGCATGATGGTATGGAGTAGAGGTGAAGACTGCACAGTAGACAAGGGATTGTGATTAAGGGCAGTAAATACACAAAGCCCTTGGCTTTGTACATGCCTTGCCCTTCTGTCCATGGTGCTGGATAGGAGGTTATGTGTATCTTTTTTTTTTTTTAAATATATGTGACAGTACCAGTACTTGAACTTAGGGCTTTGGGGCTGTCTATTAGCTTTTTTGGGGGGGGTCCAGTTATGGGGCCTGAATTCTGGGCCTGGGTGCTGTCCCTCAGCTCTTCAGCTCAAGGCTAGCGTTCTACTACTTGAGCCACAGCACCACTTCCAGCTTTTTTTTGCTTATATGGTGCTGAGGAATTGAACCCAGGGCCTCAGGCATGCAAGGCAAGCGTTCTACCACTGAGCCACCTTCCCAGCCCTGTCCATTAGCTTTTTTGCTCAAGGCTAGCACTCTACTACCTGAGCCACAACTGTATTTCCAGCTTTTTGGTGGTTAATTGGAGAAAAGAGTCTCATAGACTTTCCGGGCTGGCTTTGAACTACAATCTTCAGATCTCAACTTCCTAAATAGCTAGGATTATAGATGTGTGCCTCTATTGCTCTGCAAGCTTGTTTTTGTTTTTCTAGTCATGGGGCTTGAACTCCTGGCATGGGTACTGTTCTTGGGGCTCTTTTCTCAAAGCTAGTCCTCTAACACATTGAGCCATAGCACCACTTCTAGTTTTCTGGTGGTTAACTGGAGATATGAGTCTCATGGACTTTACTGGCCAGGATGGCTTTGAACAGTGATCCTCAGATCTCAGTCTCCTGAGTAGCTAATATTATAGGCATTAGCCACCAGTGCCCAACAGTTTTTTTTGTTTTTATTTATTTATTTATTTTTGCCAGGGCTGGCATTCTGCCACTTGATTTACTCTCCCACAAAGAGCCTGATGGTTAATAGAGTTTCAGTGGTCAGGGAGTCATGTCTAGGACAGGGCAAAGGTGGTATGGAGGAGGAAGTGTGAAATGAAATATCTACACCCAGCTAATTGGAATTGGGGTAGGGGAAAGAAACAAGTCTTGACATGGAGATGATAATCTGGAATGCAGAAGGAGCTGTGTAGTGCTGAGAGATTTATTTGAATGGAAGATGAGTTAATCTGTACAAATCATAAGGAGAGTACTGTGTCCACTCTTAGGTCAGGGGCAGAGATTGCTGACTCAGGGAGACAGAGGGTCCTTCTGTCTACCCCATTTCCTGCCTTGAAGCTCTAGGGCTTCTGGCTACCCTCATACTCTGTTTTCATCCTGTCCTATTCCGCTTCCCTGCCCATATCCCTGTAAATTTTCTGGAGAGGGCACAGTGGCCTCTAGACCTGGAAGTTCAAATTCCCAAAGCATGTATCTTACCAAAGAGTCAGGCACCACTGCCCAGCTGGACAAATCCCTGCATTCCCAACTCACTTTACAACTTAGTGAACCTGTTCACTTTTCACCACCACCCTCTTAATCTCTCAGGAAACCAGGAGAGACTTGGTTGTTCCTGCTATAGACAGAAACAAGTCTGGGTTTGTCACAAACCACACTCTCTGGCATCCAGACCTCCCATTATTATGGGAGTTAGCCAGGATCTGAGAAGTCAAACTGGGAGACTGGGAGATGGGGTAAGGCTCCTGATGAAAGCAGGAGAAAAATGAGACAAAAGTCAAGAAAGAAATATTTATTTTTTAATGTCATATTTTATGAATATTCTAAAATTTTAATATAAAAAAGACAGAAGTCAGGGCAGGGACAACCCCCCAAATAGGAAGCAAATGGTGGGCAAGTCTACATAAGAGTGGCTGGAAGTTGGGCACTGGTGGCACACACTTGTGCACGTAAAAGGTTAAGGCAGTAGGATCACCAGTCTGAGGCCAACTTGGGTTACATAGCAAGTTTAAGACCAGCCAGACCGACATATGGAGACTCTTGTCTCAAAAAAAAAAAAAAAAAACAAAGGGCTGGGAAGATGGCTCAATGGTAGAGCACTTGCCTTGCATGCATGAGGCCCTGGGTTCGATTCTTCAACACCACATAAGCAAAAAGAAAAAAGCCAGAAGTGGTGCTGTGGCTCAAGTGGTAGAGCACTAGCCTTGAGCTGAAGAGCTGAGGTCAGTGCCTAGGCCCAGAGTTCAGGCCCCATGACCTGACCCCCCAAAAAAAAACCCAAATAAACAAACAAAAAAAGTATGGTCATGGTCAAAGAGCCAGTAAGTTTTTTAAAAAAAATAATAAGCCAGAGAAAAGAAGCTAGCACCAGTGGTTCATGCCTATAATCTTAGCTACTCAGGAGGCTAAGTCTTGAGGCTAGGCATAGATCAAAGCCAGGCCAGGCAAATAAATGAGCAAGATTCTTATCTCAAATTAACCAGCAGAAAGCTGGAAGTGGTAGAATGGCTGTAGTAGATCTAGCTGTGAGCCAAAAAGCTAAACAAGAGGTCAAGGTTCTGAGTTCAAGTCCCAGTACTAGTTCATGAACACATGTGCAAACACACACACACACACACACACACTCCTAAGACAGGCAGATTCACCTTGGAGCAAAATGAAGAAGAGGGGAGGATGAGCACAATAAGCTGCCTATTCCTTCTGCCACACAGTCGTCTGAGAATGTATATGATAATCTCAGACATAAAGTTCTAATGGAATGAAAAGTTCCAACAGGCCCAAGTATAGTGTTACATGCCTGTAGAACTATCAGTACTTAAGAGGTGAGGCAGGAGGATCAAGAGTTCAAGGCCAGGCAGGGCTTCATAGTGACATGTTGTCGGGGGGGGGGGGAGATAAAATAGGTCATGTCTTTCCTCTCAAAGAGCTTACATACAAGGCAGAACCAACTGGGAGCAGACCAGCTGCACAATTACCTAGGTCACACCATGATAAATGCTTAGCTAGCATCACAGCAGCCATGACAGAATCATTGCTCAGGCCAGCCAGCATTATTAGCATCTGAGTTGGCCCTTGAAGGATGCATTCAAATCTGAGTTAGATCCTTGAAGGATGACAGAAGTACTGAGCAGGTGGAGGGAGCATGGTTCTCTCTCAATCTGTAAGTCACACCAAGTGCATACTTCCCACATGGGTCAGATCTGCTTCCTTTGCTTTGCTATAATCTTTCTATCCAGTTTTCTTAGACAGACAGGTCTCAGGGGAAGGTATATCTAATGGTCTTGCAAAGCCCTGATATGCGATATGATTATGACAGCCTCCTTCCACAGGGCTATCTGTCCAAAAACTGTAGATTGATGCTTCTCTCAGGTACCAGGACGGTCCGTGTCATAGGTCTGACTGGGGGAGCACCTGGCTCAGGCAGCACCTCAAAATGTGTCAAGATCTGGAAAAGGAAGAAGGTTATCACTATGGGACTCTATGATGGTGAGATTGACTGATAAAGAGCATTTTTTACAGTTAGAGTAGCATATGTTGTGGGTAGTACCCATGTACAATAGGAAACGTCTTGGTTAGTGAGGGTAATGATTATAGAAGAGAAAAAATCCAAATTCTCTTGCTTTACACTCTAGGTCTAGAATGGGATTATCATACTTCCAAGGATTGGGTATGTTCCTATGCTTGTTAGAGGACAGGAACATACAGATTTAGAGGGCTTGAGTCTTCTCGTCTGAGTTGTAAGATCTAGATCACTTACCTGGGACAAAGCCATTTGCAGCTCAAGCTCTGCCAGCCGCCTCCCCATGCAGCTTCGCTTGCCAAAGCCAAAGGGAAGAGATGCAAATGGGTGGGGGGTTGGGCCCTCTCCCATCCAGCGAGCTGGACGGAAAGCATTTGGCTCTGGAAACTGAGCAGGGTCTCTTGAAGTGGCATAATGACATAAAGATACCAGCGTCTGGTGAAGGAGGAATACATAGTTGTCAGTTTAATAGCCAGGCATAGGTGGTGCATGCCTACAATCCCAACACTTGGAGATGGAGGCAGGAAGACAGTGAATTTAAGGCAAATCTGGGATACATTGCAAGCCCCTGTCTTGAGAACAAAACAAGACACAAAAACACAAGCTTATTGGTTTGGGTACCAGAATGCTGGATGGATTTGACAAGAGAACCTTTGGATTAGGACAAAGGCAGGTTCTGGTTTTGATTACAAACAAATTTTCTGGGGTTGCTTTTAGAATCATTTCTCTGCTGTCCAGTTACATTTAGATCCAAGCATTTGGGTCAAGGAGGATTGGAAGGGCTTTGGGGAGTGTTTGAGAACAGGGCTGGGGCCCAAGATGGAGATGGCTCAGCAATAGGGGCTCATAAGCTTTACTCACATTTTTGGGGATAACATAACCGCCCAAATGAATATCTTTGCCTGGGACACGGGAATTTCCAGGTACCACAGGGTACAATCTAGGTTGCAAAGCAAGAAATAGAGACAGCAAGGTGAGGTTGGAGCAGATGGCCTCCTCCTTATCACCTTCCAAATCCCTGTTTGGCCAGAAGTACAATTTTTCTCTCTCCCTGCTCTTCACTTCCATCTCTTTACTTCCCAACCTTTTCTCTAGCTCCTCCTTTTCTTCCCCTCACCTTAGCACTTCCTTGACCACAGCCTTCAACAGAGGTAGCTTGGACAGAGCAGTGGCTTGCGGATGAGCACAGAAGCCAGGGCCCAGGGCAGCTGTGATCTCAGAGTAGAGCGCTGACTGGACTTCAGGGTGTCGGGAGAGCTCATACAGAGCCCAGGAGAGCGTGTTGGACACCTGTGAGGATGAGTAACAGCAGCTAAGGGGGCAGGTATGGGGACCTGGTAGAGAAGGCAGAACATGGGGCAGTCTGGGGCCAAGCAGGTGCTAGATCAAACTGGTGTTCATGACCACAGTGGGTTCCCCGAAGCATGAAAATGGCCCCAGAGGCTGAGAAGGCTGCACTCTGTGAGGTTTACAGCACAGAAGAGAACCTTACGGTGTCCACTCCAGCCAGCAGCAGCTCTGTCACATTCCCCACGATGGACTGGGCTGGCAATTTCTCCCGGAAAAGGAAATGTGTCAGATGAGACCCAGACAGCGTGTCTTCCTCAGGCTTTCCCGGATTCTTCATGGCTACCTCAGCCTCTCGCCTCTCCACGTGCCACTGGGCTGCATCAGAAGAGACAATGAAGTCTTACTACCCCTCAAGCAGCTTCCTACAACCCGCCCCCTTCCTTCTCACTCCACTTCTGTGCCTTACCAAAGGCAAACATCTGGTCCCAGTCTCTGCAGAGGCGGGCCCAGGGTCCAGGCACAAGGTGATGCAGCCAGCTGGGCATGGCCATGGTCAATAGCGTGGACACGAACACGGAGCCCACTGCGCGGATGAAGGTCTCAGTGTCTGAGGGTACTTCATCCTCCAGACAGCCTAGGCGCGAACCCAGCAGCACGGCGGCTATGCCTGGCCGGGAGAGGGCGCTGTCAGACACGGGGAGAGGCGGGCTGCTGCGTCCGTGGCCAGTCCCAGTCTTGGTACTCACCTTCTAGTCCAAATTTGTAAAACTCTCCCGCCACGTCCCGCACCAAGGCGGGTGGACCGGTGCCACGTCCTCGCTGTCGCCTTAATCGTCCTACAAGGTCACGGACCACGTTACCTAGGATCCCTGCGTAACCAGCAGCCGCTTGAGGACGGAGGAGGAGTGGGGCCAGGAGACTGCGGAGCCTTTGCCATTCTTTGCCTTCCCTGTGGGAGGTGCAGAGAGGGCGCATCAGGGAGAGAGGGAGGGTATGAGTGTGTGTGTGTGTGTGTGTGTGTGTGTGTGTGTGTATCAGGACCTGGGTGCTTTCCTGAGCTCCTTTTGCTCCTTTGGATTACAGGCATGAGCCACTGGCACACGTGTGTGTGTGTGTGTGTGTGTGTGTTAGACGGGACTTACTCTTAGCTGGGGTGCCTAGAAGTATTGGATCTGCCCTCTCAGGGTACAGAAACCTGCCCCTGCCTGTGCCCATCTTCCTTCTTCCCTACTTATTTCCTGCGGGGGTGGGGGTGAGGTGAGGAGAAGGGCGGAAGGGAGCGACTAGGTTCCCAGTAACCTCCGTCACAGAAGCGTACAATCGATCTGGATTCTAGTACCCTAGCCACATCCATTCTCCGGTCCCCTAGAGTTCCCAGTGTTCTGGTCTCAGCGAAGAATGAGGTGAGCAGGGGGACTCAACCTGAGTTAGGATGGAAAAGAGTAGACATCCCGGAGATGCCGAGAGAAGCTATCAACTTCCCTGCAAAGCCACGAGATAGATGGCGTCTCCATTTCCAATAGAAGGGAGCCGTGGAGCCGCCTAGGAACTTTGGGGGCAGAGAGGACTCACGCGGTGAGCAGTCCACAAGCCCGGTGGTGGCGGCGACGGTGCTCGGTCCAGGATGAGAAGCCGCAGCGCTCTGGCCAGGGCCCCTCCTGTCGCAGCAGCTGCTCGATGAGGACAGGGTCAGCCACATACACGGTGCGCAGCGTCCCGAAGCTGGCCAGCCACAATGGGCCAAAGCGCGCCGCACCCTGCACCTGGGAGAATCCACAGAGCGGACACTTGGCTACCCTGGATGGGGACTCCCAGCATGGTTAGTGGAAATGCCGAGGGGATTGGTTAGGTTTGGGAGGGGCTTGCTTTCCAGGTGCTTTTCTAAAATGTATGGTCCCGAGGCTGAGGCTGCCAATTCCTCTTTCTCCCAGCACATGAAAGTTCTGTGTGGGATAGGCAGAAGGCTGCAGCTTTGCAGAAAGCTACATTCAGGACTTCTCCTTAGTCATCTGGGCTGAGAGAGGAGTCCTTAAAGGTTCCCCACTTGGACTGTCCAACTAAGGACTTAATAAGTGAAAAACAGCACATAGCTTTAAGCCAAAAGTGCAATGGGTAATCGTGGGCTACTTCCAGTGCACTTGTCCTGGACCATCAAGGTCTCCAGAGGAGAGGGTGGAAGGGCAGAGTATAACCATTTGCTGAGACCAGGCGCCAGTTGGGCCATCTCCCCTACCCCCAACCCATGGGCATCCATTCTCACTGATTTTTCCTACATTCACTCATTTGGCACTAGTCCGTCATTTCTGACATCAAAGGCAGTTTCTCCAGCTCTCAGTCCCAGGAGCTGGAACATCTCTTCCTACCTGTAGCTCATGTAGCTTGGACAGCCCCCCTTTGCAGAAAAGTTCAGCCAGGAAGCTAGGTGTGGAGGGCCCTGGGATGTCTCCCAAACTCCCAGGTGCTGAGTCGGATCTTCGAGAACCCAGAGAGGTGCCCAACATGGGAGGCCACTGGATTCGATGAAACACTCTGGAGGTGAGCTTGAGTGTTTGTGTCATGGTAGGTAGGGTTCAGGGAGCCCCGGAGAGAGCAGTTTCCCAGAGCATCTTGCCAACTTGCTAGAACCCTTATTTAATCCTTGGTCCAAGAGGTGATGACGCCCCCTTCCCAAGCTCCTCAGCCAATCCTTTTCGAAGTGGTCCGTGCTGGTGATCAGCACCCACAAATGGTAGGCGGGGCAAGGGCTGACTCCATGACTCTTTGGGGACTCATGTTACAATGACCCTCATGGAGGGGAGGTCTTAAGTTTCTTCTGGCTTGCACCTTAGTTCAGCAGCCTAAAGATCTGTTTCTTCCTGGGAAAAGCTATGTAGAATAGACTACAGGAGTCAGTCTTTCCAAGGGAATCAAGCCCCTTCTGGATCATCCTCAGGAACTCTCCATCCTACAACTCCTCCAGCAACGGAAATAGGTAGAGGCATGACTAACCTTCCTGGGAAATGAGGAAATTCTTTCCTCTGTTGAAGTGCCTAGATGTCCCATAATGGAGTTTTTGGGCTCACTGAATTATACTTTCTTTGCATGTGAGTTTTCCTATATTAGCCACATTCTTCCTTCACCTAACACATACAGGACAGGTGGTATGTAGGTTAATGGGCTAAAACTGACTCCAGGTACTTTTGTCTCTGTTTCCTGGGAAAGGGTATTATTTAGGTCCACAAGCCCCCTCCTTCCAGCAGTAGGATTTGGGTCTTGAGGAACAGAAGCAAAATAACAAAAAGTAGGGAGCTTTGGAGATTCTTTCCAGATCACCAGATGGAACAAGGACTAAGTGCATGTTCTCAATCTCTAGCTGACTCAGTTGCCTCTGGGTGGCTTTTTGGGCAGTTGCCTTTATTTACTTTCAGCTTCAGAATTCTCCAGTTTAGCTCTTTGCTTCATACCACTCACTCCTCTCCCTACTCTTTTGTTATTGTTGGTTGTGGGGCCTGAACTCTAGGCCTGGATGCTGTCCCTCAGCTCTTCAGCTCAAGGCTAGCCCTCTACCATTTGAGCCACAGCTCTACTGCCAGCTTTTTCTGATTATGTGGTGCTGAGGAATTGAACCCAGTGCCTCATGCATGCAAGGCAAGCACTCTACCACTGAGCCACCTTCCCAGCCCCTTTCCCTACTCTTGTCAGACTCTTATTAGATTCTAGACCAGTCAACTGTGAGGTTTGGAATCAAAGGTCATGTGGAAAAGGAGAGGGCTTCTATCCTCTCGTTTTCCAAGGACTCTCCAGAGCCAGCAACAATAAAGGGAGCACAAATTGCCCTGGTTAAGTCTTAGGCAAGAGAGGATGGGAGGAGGCATGTGACACACACCCCAGTCTTTTCTGAGAAATAACAGCATGAGCACGTGTGTGAATACACATTATCCCCAGGACTGCAAAGTAAACACAAGTAGGCAATGATTTGAGCCAAGCAGACAGTTTAGATGGTGGGGCACTGCATTCCTCAAGCCAGCTGAGGAGAAACCCCACACGTGAAGGGAGTTCTAAGGGAGAGCATGACCTCACACTCTTCCAAAGATTCTCTCTGATCCAAAGCCCTTTGGCCTTCTTGTTAAGCTTCTTTTGCTTTGTGCTGGCAGTGAGGAGACAAGAAGATAAGAGGAGATAGGGCAGGTGTGAACCAGGTAGCACCCTAACTTTTTAGAGAGATACAGCCTTCTAGCTATAGTGTCATTTGGGAAGGCCTGGAGAGTGGGGTGGGGCTTGACCTTTTTTTCCAATCCCTGGAAAATGGGCCAACTAAGGCAGGGTAAACAGTCAGTGATTAGGCAGGGTGGGATTGGGGGGTCACTGCCTGTAGAATAGGATCCTGTATTCTTCGGAAGATGGCTGGGAAATTCTTTCCTCCATTGCGCAGAACTTTCTTTCCTTCCTCAGTTGAAGTGCCTAGATGTCCCACAATGGGGTCTTCACTCTGGAAGAAGGAAGGGTCCAATATGTCTTTGCCCATCTTTCATATTAGGCTCAAAGAATACAGGACAACTATGGAAAGGACCGTTATCTTTGCAATTTCCTTTATACCTCCTACTTACCAATTCCTCCAGAGGCACACGCTCAAACAGGGGGTGCCCCTCAAAATGGGTGCACATCCAGTGGTGGAGCTCCAGCACATCGGTTATGGTATATACCAGCCCCTGTATAAGCAAAATGATCCTAGAAGGTCTGCATATACAACTGAGCAGCAAGGTGACGGAGTGAGGGTGCAAGTACCCAAAATGTACCCATGATTATTACTTGAGAAGAGCCCCTGGGGTAAGCCTATCCTCCTTCCCGGCTCACCCCAACTCTGAGCACGTAGGCATATTCTGCCAGCAGTGTGGGACTGATGATTCGCCACTTGTGCTTTGTCCGCTTGAAGTGTGGGTCAGGGAAGAGGAAGAACATCTTTGTCAGCTGTGAGACAGACATGCACCAAGAGTTGTGAGTGTTTGAACTCCATCTTCCACCTACCAGCCTTTCCAATCAGGGCCACTCCCTACCTGGCCCTTGCGGAAGAAATTAGGAAGGTGTTTCATGGCATTACTACGGAGACAGGCAATGTTCTGGAAACCACCTCCAGGAGCTGCACGTAGAGCACGAATTCGGTCCTGTACATAGTCTGAGACCTTCACGCGAATTTCAAGACCCAGAATCAGGGTGTCTGGGAACAGTGGTGACAGTTCCACTGGACACAGAAATAGAAATATGATCATTAATCTCAGACTTGCATGAGGTGCAAAGGGTCAATACAGGAAAGAAAGCCTCAATTTGCAACTACCAAAATCAGATATCTATACAAAAAATTCTCTGCTGGAAATGTACGCATTATCCTGCCCATGTAATTGTAACCCCTCTGTACAGTATGTTCATAAATAAAATAAAATAAAAAAAATCCTGGTACTACCAAAATAAAGTCTTAAACTTAAAAAAAAAATTCTCTGCTGGAAAGGAGGCAAAATACAAAAACTGCCCCCAGCCAGGCGCTGGTGGCTCATGCCTGTAATCCTAGCTACTCAGGAGGCTGAGATCTGAGGATCACGGTTCAAAGCCAGTCCGGGCAGGAAAGTTTGTGAGACTCTTATCTCCAATAAACCATGAGAAAAACAGAAGTGGCGCTGTGGCTCAAGCGATAGAGCACTCACCTTGAGCTAAAGAGCATAGGGACAGTGCCCAAGTCCAGAGTTCAAGCCCCACGACAGACAAAACAACAACAAAAAAAACTGCCCCCAGAACTAAAGTGGAATAGCTAAGGCTATGTGTACAATTTGTGATTGCTTTAGCGTTCTCATAGTGATTTCATAATGGTCTTATTTAATCCTTGTAACACTCTGTGGTAAAGAAGAGGAAATTGGTAGTCAGGAATGCTCAAGATCATAAAAATAAGAGCTGGAATTTAAACCAAGATTGGTTGTCTCCCCCACCCTACCCCTTACCAACATGTTCTTCCTGTCATGCTGTTATCTGTACGGAAAAGTCTAAAATGAGGGAAGTGACCTGTCATTCAGACTTGGGACAACATACACAGTACAAAAGAGACCCCAAACAGGAGTGTGGATCAGAAAGAATGTGTTCTGGTGAGGGAGGGGAGATAGTGGAATCCCCAAGACAGTTCAGGTTCACTGGCCACAGGGACTAATCTCTGACGCTTGTGCTGACCGATTCACTGACCCAGCACAGGACAAGAAAAATGGCTCATGATGGGACTAGAGCCAGACAGGATTACCCAGGTTCTAAGAGGCATTCGAGGCAGCCTCCTCCCTTCTTTAGAGCAAAGGTCATAGATCCATGGTAGAGGGTAGCTGTAGGGCTCTCCACACTGATGTCACCAGTGTCTGGAAAGAAGGGGAAGGTCACGATGGCCCCCACCAAACCTGCTGAGGTGGCAGAACCTATGCTTCTTGCTACTCTAGAAAAAGAGCCAGTGTTACCTAACAGGCCACCATAGCCACAGCCTATGTCTGCAAACTCCACTTGGGCCTCCGTTCTTTTTTCTTTCTTATCCTTTGGGTCATCGTGGCTCTGATTTTGAGTGAGTGGAGCAAAGAACTCTGGGTATAGCTCAGACCAGTCCATCTCCTCTGGTTTCACAGGGCTATTGGAAAGAAGACAAAGAATGTGAGAAGGCACATTGGTCATATAATTTCAGAAGTGCTGCTGCTTGGTGGATGAGTGTGGGAAGCAGATGGAGGCAGAGTTTCTCACAAATTCTGCAACAGTGGGTCCTGGGGCCCACCCCTAGGAGACATTATGGAAAACCCCCTAACTTCCAGTGTGATTCACAGGCACCTCATATGGCTCATGACTGATGACTTGCCAGTCTCCATTAATACATTTATGTGACCCTGGCCAGGTAGTTCTTTCTGGAGTACAGGTTTCCCTTCTTCCAAAGTCTGTGTGTGCCTAAGGCACTACAATCTTTTTTTTTTTTTTAATTTTTAAAGGGTGTTCTGTAGGTAGAGGATGAAGTAAGGGATGGGAAGCCTTGAACTTAGGGACTGGGCACTCTCCCTGAGATTTTTTTTGCTCAAGGCTAGTGCTCCAGTTCCAGCTGTTTTGGAGGGTTAACTGGAGATAAAGAGTCTCACAGCCTTTCCTGCCCAGGCTGGCTTCGAAGCGCTTAAGTAACTAGGATTACAGTGGAGAGCCACCGGCGCCTGGTTTATGTTTGTCTTTTTGTTAAGCTTAGCAAACCAAATCGAAAGATGGAGACGACAACCTGTTTCTTCACTCAAGTTTCAGGGGGAAAAAATTCCCTATTCTCGGACACGGGACCCCTAACTCTGACTATTCGGCTAAACACCACGCCCCTGCCCCGCCCCCCTTCCAGCTGGCCAGCTCCCGGACCCGACCCCCCCAGCTGACGTCACCCAGCCGAGCCTCCCCGCCCAAGTCCCGCCTCCCGCCCCAGCACGGTCCTCTCCCACGTTGCTGGGAGGATCCCGTCTCCTTCTAGGATCCCGTCTCCTTCTTCCCCGTCCCCCTGCCCCGCTCGCTCACTAGTGCAGGGTATGGTCCGCCATGGGATTGGAATGGGCGCGTTGCCGGTAGTAGCGCTTCTGAGGCTGCAGGGCCTCCGCTCCCGCCATGACGCTGGAATTCTTCCGAGTTCTCACCGAACCCACGTGGAGATTGGGCCGGCGGCGCACGATGATGACGCAGACACACGCTAGAAGAAAGCCACGCCCCTTAAAGCCCCAAGGCTTCGCTGGGCGGTGAGGCCCGCGATGGGGAGAGAGCGGGCGCGGGAACCTCCCGCATCTCTCCCGCCTGGCATTGCCTGACCCAGGCTCCCAGCCTCTTGGCTTTCTTCTGCTCTGATCTAGGTCACCATGCTGTAGTTGCACGCAAACATTTGTGCACCCCACAGGTGAGAGGGACCTGGCGTGCAATCCAGCGTCCTTATCCTCGCCCTGGTCTATGGCCCAAGTCTGCCAGGTCTAGGCTGTTAGGGCCGACGTGTCCAGGGCCGGGCAGGTGGGTAGCTCCTCGTCCTCCTCCAGGAAGTCCAGACTGGAGGAAGGAGGGCAAGCGGGGAGGGGAGGGGAGGGGGGCGGGGCCCGGTGCCTCGGGTTAGCCTGGACGGCCGGCAGCACCAGCTTCGTACCCCGTCACCGACACCTCGGGATCCAAACGCTGCCCGTGGGCAGCTGCCCGATAACTCTCTCGGCTGGATGGCAAACTCCTGCCTGGGTCCCGAATTCGACTCGGTGTTCCCTCGGGAGGTCGGGCTCTTCGCCGACTTTTACTCGGAGAGGAGCCGCTTCTGCTTCTGTGGCCACGAGCTGAGCATCACGCAGAACTTTGGGTCCCGCCTGGGGGTGGCGGCACGCGTGTGGGATGCGGTGAGGAATGGGCTGCTCGAGTGAGGGTCCCTGGGAGGGCCAGAGTTCGAATCCAGCCACTTCCATATGGATGACCTCTCCGCCAGCACTTAGCTATTTATTTATATATTGATTTTTATCTCCCACTCCCATAGGCTCTGAGTCTTTGCAACTACTTTGAGAGTCAAAATGTGGATTTTCGGGGCAAAAAGGTGATCGAACTGGGCGCGGGGACGGGCATCGTGGGAATCTTGGCGGCGCTGCAGGGTGCGTGAGCTGGCTTCGTGGCAAGGAGGGGTGAGGGGTTGTGGGCGTGGCGACATTGTCACTACGTGGATTACTGAGAGAGGAGAGTGCTTTGGGCCCATCCCTGTCCCTTACTTTTAACAAACAACACCCCATCCCCCATCTTCTGTATGGCATTCATTCAGTGCTGATTGGTTTTCAAAGCACCCAGGGTGGGTGGCTAATTTGGGGTTAGGAAATAAACAACTGACAGGACTTGTTTCTGGAAACTCTCTTTTGCTCTCTGGGTTTTCATGGAGAATGCCGTCACTAAAAATTTTTCTTTAGTTTGGACATGATCTTCAGTCCAAATGCATATATAGGGATATTCTGTGGAGCATCCTATGGAGGCATTAAACATCATGAAAATTTATAATTTTGTTACAAGTTAGGTTCCTTAGTGGGTTTTTTTTTTTTTTTTTTGCTTGGTCCTGGGGCTTGAACTCTGGGCCTGGGCGCTGCCCCTTAGCTCTTCAGCTCAAGGAGAGCCCTCTACCACTTGAGGCACAGCACCACTTCTGGTGGTGCTCATGGACTTTCCTGTCCAGGCTGGTGTTGAACTGCAATTCTTAGTTCTCAGCCTCCTGAGTAGCTAGGATTACAGGTATAAGCCACTGGTCTTTGGCTAGTGGTTATTTATTTATTTATTTAATTTTTTTTTGGTCCAGTCCTGGGTCCTGAACTCTGGGCCTGGGCGCTGTCCCTCAGCTCTTCAGCTTAAGGCTAGCTCTACCACTTGAGCCACAGCGCCACTTCCGGCTTTGTTCTTTTTTCTTATGTGGTACTGAGGAATCAAACCCAGGGCCTCAGGCATGCAAGGCAAGCGCTCTACCACTGAGCCACCTTCCCAGCCCCTTATTTATTTTTTTAATTATTGCTTTTAGTTGGTTGGTTATGCTTATGTAGTTTAGGCCAGCCTTAAACTTGAAATCCTCCTACCTAGGACTATGGAGTGAGGGAATTACAGATGTGTACCACCATACCCAGTTAGAACTTTTAGGTCTTTATTGTTAGGGGACACAAGATTGTGAGTTTTGGGGACTAGGGTATGTTTCTTGGGGAGTGAAGGTAGGAATTAAGCACTGTAAAAAAAGAAAGGAAAAATTATGTGTTTTGTGTGTGTGTGTGTGTGTGTATGTATGTATGTATGTATGCGTGTGCACGCGTACCAGTCATGGGTCTTCAACTCAGGGCCTAGGTGATGTCCCTGAGCTTTTTGTACACAAGGCTAACACTCTGTTACTTGAGTCACAGCTCCATTTTTGGCTTTTTGGTAGTTAAATGGAGATTAGAATCTTCATGGACTTTCCTGGGGCGGGGGAGGGCTGACTTCAAAGGGCAATCTTAAAATCTCGGCCTCCTGTGTAGCTAGGATTACAGGCTTGGGACATCAGCATCCAGCTTTGTGCTTTGATTTTATAAAGAGCAAGAAATGAAAAAAATTCTTAATTTATAATCAAGGGCAGACAAAACACCACACTAAAAACATTAATTTAAAAACACATAGTACCAGCTGCTGGTGGCTCACACATATAATCCTAGCTACTCAAAAGGCTGAGATCTGAGAGTCGAAGTTTGAAGCCACCTTGAGCAGGAAACTCAGTGAGACTCTTGTCTCCAATAAACTACCAAAAAGCAAGAAGTGCAGCTGTAGCTCAAGTAGAAGAGCACTAGCCTTGAACAAAACTAACGCAGGGACAGTGCCCAGGCCAAGTGCTAGGACAAGCACATACAATAGCATGCACACACACATACAGAGTGTGTGAAATCTTGTAAATGACTAGGTTTTTGTTCATGGAAACAGAATGAGGTGACATGAAGAGAAGCCTTTCCAGAGGCAAGCCTTCATTCTTTTGCTCATTCAATCTACATGTATTCCCTATGTACTTAGAATTGCCCTGGGTGTTTGGGATTTGACAGTAAATAAAGATTTCTTCTCCCTAAGCATACAGTTGGGTGGGGAAATTATAAGAAAATGTTATGGTCCAGCGCTCTAGTGAGGTATATGTAGAACTAGCGGATATGTTCTGCTTTAACTCCTTGGAAATTCTTCAAGGGAAAGCTCTGATAGGCAAGGAGATGAACAACGTAGTGTGAACACTGAAGGCATATAAAGAAAGGAGTACCACAAAGGGCAAGTGGATTAGAATCAGTTATATTAAAAGGGGAGAAGCTAGTCTAACCATTCAGGAGGATGAGATCTGAGGATTGAGGTTCAAAGCCAGCTTGGGCAGAAAACACTTTTATCTCCAATTAACTACCCAAAAGCCAGAAGTGGAGGTGTAGCTCAAGTATTAGAGTGCCAACAATAAAGCTAAGGGAGGGCTGGGAAGGTGGCTCAGTGGTAGAGCGCTTGCCTTGCACGCATGAGGCCCTGGGTTCGATTCCTCAGCACCACATAAGCAAAAAGAAAAAAGCCGGAAGTGGCGCTGTGGCTCAAGTGGTAGAGCACTAGCCTTGAGCTGAGGGACAGCGCCCAGGCACAGAGTTCAGGCCCCACTACGGGACCCAAAAAAACAATAACAACAAAATAAAGCTAAGGGACAACTGCGAGGCTCTGAGTAGCTCAAGCTCAGTGTTGGCCCCTCAAAAATAAATAAATAAATAAAAGGGGATAAAAGGCATGTGTATGGATGGAAACATCCACCTTCACTTGCTCCCAGACTAGATTTTCCTTCTTTGGCCCCCTGCTTACTTGCCAAGTCAGGTATCTGTTCTCTCCCTTCACATCCCAGAAATTGGCCTGCTCTTATATTAACATGTCCTTAACATTCTAGTTATCTATTCCAATTCCGGATCATGTCTAGTTTAGGGTATTACCATTTCTTGTCTGGGTTTTCATAAGAGCCTTCATGTCTTTCTATGGGGAAATTTAACATGCCCAAACTAGATCTAAGATATTCTCCCACCAAACCTGTTTATCCTTCAGGTTTGATGAATCAAACCACCATCCATCCAATGGAAACCCTGAATGTCACCTTTGACACATTCCCAGGTCTTTCTTTTTTCTTTTTCTTTTTGATGGTCGTGGGGCTTGAACTCAAGACTCTGGGAGCTGTCTCTGAGATTTTCTGCTCAAGGCCAGCACTCTACCACTTTTAGCCACAGCTCTACTTTTGGTTTTCTGGTGGTTAATTGGAGATAAGAATCTCATGGACTTTCCTGCTCTGGCTGGCTTTGAACCAGGAGCCTCATCTCAGCTTCCTGAGCAGGTAGGATTACAGGCATAGCCACCATTTTTGGCTGGTCTCATTTTAAACTTGTTATCACTGAACTCAGGTCTAATTAGCCTGTTTTACTCCTCTTACTCTTCCAGTCTCCTAAACATCTATATCTTTAGTTTTTGGCAGTACTGGGACTTGAACTTAGAGCCTCATAATCGTTAGTTTAACTTTTTACCACCTGAGCCATACCCCTAGTCTTTTTTTTTAACTTTAATTTATGTTTCAGGTAGGATCTTGTGTTTTCTTCTCAGGACTGGCCTAGTCTGTGATCCTCCTTACTTTCACCTCTTGTGTGAAAGAGTTATAGGTGTGTACTGGTACATTTGGTATTCCGGCCCTAAACGTGGTTCTTACTTCCTTTTTTTTTTTGTTGGTCGTGGGGCTTGAACTCTGGGCTTGGGTGCCATCCCTGCGCTCTTCAGCTCAAGGCGAGTGCTCTACTGCTTGAGCCACAGTGCCACTTCCGGTTTTCTAGTGGTTTATTGGAGATAAAGAGTCTCACGGACTTTCCTGCCTGGGCTGGCTTTGAACCTCGATCCTCAGATCTCAGCCTCCTGAGTAGCTAGGATTACAGGCATGAGCCACCGGCGTCTGGCTTTCCTTTTTTTTTTTCCTTTTCAGTACTAGTGGTTTTGAACTCAAGGCCTTACACTTGCTAAGCAAGTGCTCTACCATTGAACTATACTCCCCACACCTTCAGTTTTTTCAAATCCATGAATACTTTCTCTGCTGTTGTCATTATCAGCTGATGGTTTTATTTCCTATGTTCTGCTTGCACCTGTTTTCTCAGAAAATGTCCTTCTGTTCCTATCACAACTTCTGCTCCCCTAGCTGTGCCTGTGTTTGCATGTACTACCTTCTGTTTTGCTATCATGGTTGGACATAGCTAAGGACAAGGTCTTCACTTGTCACAAGATCCTAAACATTCCCACTTGCTCAAAGACACTGTTCAATCAACTCCCTCTCTCCTGCATTATTCATTTTTCTTTCTTTCTAGGTTGCAGTCTGTCTTTCTGTCTGTCTCATCTCCACGAGGCCCTGCCCCCCACGCTGCCTCTCCCACGTGCATGCGCGCTCGCGCGCACACACACACACACACACACACACACACACACACACACACACAGCTATGCTGCAATCCCTCTTAGCTCAGGAAAAAAATTCTATGATCACATCTTTTCCCACTTGTCTAGACATTTCTCTGTTCTTGTTTTGTGTGTGGGTACGTGTGCCCAAGCATGTGCACGCATGTATGCACATACATGTGCTCATGTCTCAGTACTAGGGTTTGAACTCAGGGCTGGGTTCTATCCCTTAGTTGTTGTTGTTTTGATCAAAGCTGGTGCTCTACCCTTGAGCCACAGACATACTTCCAGCTTTTTCAGTGGTTAATTGGAGATAAGAGTTTCATGGACTTTCCTGCTTTGGTTGGCTTCTAACCACAATCCCCAGCTCTTGGCCTTCTGAGTAACTAGAATTACAGGCATGAGCCACAGGTGCTCAGCTTCTGTTCTTTAAAACTCAAAACATTACTGTCTGCCATGTCTAGATTGTGAGCTTCATGTGTTGTTAACAGGGAGCTAATTACCTGCCCACTGACAGCAATACTCCCTTCTCCTTGAAATGTCCTTTGCTTTCTGGGCCAACACACTTCTGGTTTGTGCCTCTCTCACTGGCACACTTTTCCATTCTCTTTTGTTATTTCCCTTTCATCTTTACCACTGAAGATTTGGGTGCCCCAGCATTTGGGAGTAGCCCTCTGACCCTCCTTTTCTTTCTGTATACACTTCCTGCTGAACAGCCCCCTCACTTTTTGGCTTTGAACGTCCTTTTTATGCTGATTACGATGGTTCTCCCACTTCTATTTCCAGGCTTGTTTGCATGACCCACTGCCTACTCAGTATCTTCATGTGATTGTCTGATAGACCTCTTAAACTTAATGTGTCCAGAAATGAAATCAGGATCATCTTCCCAAACAGGCTCTCCTCATTTAAATGAAAGACACTTTGGTCTTCCAGTTGGTTAGGAAAACATCCTGAGTATCTATCTCACGCTCTTCTTTTCCCTCCTTCTCCCCCTTCCTCTCCCTTCTCCCCCACTTTAATATTTAATCTGTTGGATCATGTTAATTCTCCCTTCAAAATAAATTCAGGATCTGACCCCTTACTGGTCAGTGCTACTACCTTGATCCACACCAACATCCATTATATCTCACCTGGATCATTACAGCCAACACTTAACTAGTCTCCTTGTTTCTAATCTTGTTCTTCTTCAGTATTTTCAAATCCCAGCAATCAAAAATGGTTCTCTTAAAACATAAATCAATTTGTGCATTTTTTTTCATTTAAAATTCTTCTATAGTTTTCTGTATCACAAAGACTAAAAGCCTAATTTCTCAGTCTCCTGATTATGATTCCATTTCTATTATTCCCCTACAACTCACTCTGCGCCAGCCCCTGGCTTTTCTCTGTTCCTTACACCTGTCAGGTATAGTCTTGTCTCAAGATGCTTGTGTTTGCTGTTCTTTCATTTGGTAGACTTTAGCCTTAGAGATCCACATGGTTTGCTCAGTTGTTCCTGGTCTTTGCTCTGTGAGGCTTTCCCCAATCATCCAATTTCAAATTACATTCCTAGCTGGGTGCCAATGGGTCCTGCCTGTAATCCTAATTATTCAGAAGCTGAGATTTTAGGATTGAGGTTTGAAGCCAGCCTGGGCAGCAAAGTCCATGAGACGCTTATCTCTAATTAACTACCTTTGCTGGAAGTGGAGGTATGGCTCAGGTGGTAGAGTACCAGCCTTAAGCAAAAAGAAACCAACAGCAGAAGGGCTGGGGTGTGGCTCACATAGTAGTGCATCTGCCTGGAAAGCTTGAGGCCCTGTGTTCAATCCCTAGTACCACTACCAAAAAAAGTTCCCTACCTGCCATTCATGCTTCACTGTGGTAAACACTGCCATTTGCTATACAGTATGTTTTAGCTTATTTTGTTGTTGTCTGTTTCTTGCCACTCTTGGTTTTTTTTTTTTGTTGTTGTTGTTGTTGTTGGTCATGGGACTTGAACTCTGGACCTGAGCACTGTCCCTCCGCTCTTCAGCTCAAGACTTCTGGTGTTTTATTGGTGATAAGAGTCTCACGGACTTTCCTCCTAGGGCTGGCCTTAAAATTGTGATCTTCAGATCTCAGCCTCCTTAGTGGCTAGGATTACAGGTGTGAGCCACTGGCACCCAGCTGCTGCTCTTGGTTTTGTTTTTTTTTGTTTGAAGACAAATTCAAGCTGTATAGTCTAACTTGCCCTCAAATTTGAGATCCTACCTCTGCCTCCTGAGTGCTTTATTACAGGTACATGCTACTACACCTGGATCTTAGCAACTTCCTGTAAACTCCTGGGGGAAAATGTATGGTTTTTATCTGCTTGGTCTGACATACAGGCATATGATAAAAACAAATGAATTCTTGGCACATCTACCTTCTCTTTCTGTAATACTCATCACTATTATGCTACCTCTAGTCTGAAATTCAAGGAAGGCTGGAGATTTTGCTTTGCCTACTAGTGTATCCTGGATCCTAGGTGCTCAATATATATATTTTTTTGTTTGAATGAAATGCTAATCTGATCTCCCCTCCCCCCACCGCCCCAATTCCTGGTGCTTTAACTCACTGTCCCTTAGCTTCTTTTGCTCCAGTCTAGCACTCTACTACTTGAGCCACAGCATCACTTCTGGCTTTTTCTGCCAATGTGGTACTGAGGAATCGAACCCAGGGCTTCATGCATGTAGGCAAGCACACTACCACTAAGCCACATTCCAAGTCCCTAATCTGATCATCTTTACCCTCACTTCTATTCTTCTGACCTGTTGCCTCCTTATCCAAGATGAATCTCCTTAGAATATCATAATCCTGTCTCATGCCTATTTCTCCCTATTTCCACATCCTCTAAGATACAGTCTTCCTTAGAATATGTCCTGCCAGGCCTCTGTACTCAGGAGTCTGTGCTTCGAAAACCCCACCTGACTAACTCCTACATGTCCTCTAGGGCTCAGCTGAGGACATGTCTCTTGGGAAGCCTTCCAGGCCCCCAAGGTGGTTTTGTGTCAGTGGGGGTGGGTACAGGGCCCATCTCCAGTATAGTCCTGCTCAGGGTTCTGCTGACATCTGATGATTGTGTGTTGGGCAGAGAGGTTGAAGATTAGCTCAGAGAGAATGTTGATGTGGTAGAATGTAGAGTAATGAGCATACAGTGGGTGAGATGGAGGTTAGGGCAGCAAAAAATCCAACTGCGCACTTCAGGCTAGGAAGACATTGTCCTCTAGGCTTAGAGGTCTCAGGATCTTTCAGGTAGGAGCCAGGAGTCCTTGCTGGATCCCTCTGACTTGCATTTCTCCTCCTTGTTCTCCCTCAGGGGGGGATGTAACCATCACTGACCTGCCTCTGGCACTAGAGCAGATCCAAAGCAACGTTCACGCTAATGTGCCAGCTGGAGTCCAGGCCCAGGTCTGCGCTTTGTCCTGGGGGATTGACCAGCATGTCTTTCCTGGAAATTATGATCTGGTGCTGGGATCAGATATCGTGTACCTGGAACCCACCTTCCCACTGCTGCTGAGGACCCTCCGGCACCTGTGCGGGCCCCGTGGTACCATCTATCTGGCCTCCAAAATGAGGGAGGAACATGGGACAGAGAGCTTCTTCCAGCACCTCCTGCCCCAGCACTTCCAACTGGAGCTGGCCCAGAGGGATGAGAATGAGAATGTCAACATCTACAGGGCCCGCCATAGGGAAACAAGGCCTGCTTGAAGTCACTCCTGTTATCCTCAACCCCTTGTCCCAAGAAAGTTGCCGCATATCTGCACAGCCATAAACACAGGGACCAAAACAATGGATCTTCATAGGTTTCCCCTCTCTCTCTCTCTCTCTTTTTTCCTTGTTTCCCCCATAGAGGTGCCTACTTACTAAGAATCATAGACTATCTAAAAACACTCATATTAGAGCACAGAGGGAATTTCCAGCTCTAGTTTTCAGAGGAGGAAGATGGATTTTTAGGGGTGTGTATGTGTGGGGGGGAGGTAAATGGGTGTGAGAGTAGGTGCAGAGACTATCAATGATGACTTCTAATTTTACTGTTGCCTTTTTATAACACAATGAACTTTTTAAAAAAGTTCTAAAGAATTTTTGTGTGTGTGTGTGAGACTTGAACTCTGGGCCTGGGCACTATCCCTGAGTTCTTCAGCTCAAGGCAAGTGCTCTGCCACTTGAACCACAGTGCCATTTCTGGTATTTTGGTGGATAATGGGAGATAAGAGGCTCACAGATTTTCCTGCCTGGGCTGGCTTTGAACCACAATTCTCAGATCTCAACCTCCTGAGTAGCTAGGACTACAGGTGTGAGCCACTGGTGCCTGGCTTTTTTTTT